AAATAAAATTAATAAAATAAAATAGTGTTTTACCATTAAATATTATATCTACACTAGATTTTTTGTAGATGCTTTTTTTAATCAGTTTAAGGAAGTTCCCTCCCAAACCACTTGCTACTACTATTAGTATTAATACTGCTGTAATTGACCATAATGATAATATCTAATACATATAATATTTATCATGATTTTAACCTTTACATTCATTGCATCTCCTGAGTATTTCATGAATAAATATTGACTTTAGCAAACATTTATCCTTATGTATTTGGATGACCAGATGGTTTTCCTTGTTCAGTCCATTAATGTGCTAAATTATATTAATAGATTTTCTAATGTTAAACCAGTCTTCGAAGATGGATGTGGTGGCAGGTAACTGTAGTCTCAGCTACTCAGGAGGCTGAGGCAGGATGATCACTTGAGGCCAGGAGTTCAAGGCTGTAATGCACCACAACTATGCCTATGAATAAACACCTCATTTCAGCTTGTCAGCAACATAGACCTGTCTCAACAACAACAGCAACAAGAAGACAGCCAAGTACAGTGGCTCATGCCTATAATCCCAGCACTTTGGGAGGCCAAGGTAGGTGGATCACTTGAGGTCAGGAGTTTGAGACCAGCCTGGCAAGCATGGTGAGACCCCGTCTCTACTAAAAGTGCAAAAATTAGCTGGGCATGGTGGTACGGTACCTGTAGTCCCAGCTACCTGAGAGGCTGAAGCAGACGAATTGCTTGAACCTGGGAGGCAGAGGTTGCAGTGAGCTGAGATCATGCCACTGCACTGGACGACACAGCCAGGCTGTCTCAAAAACAAAACAAAACAAATCACTTCATTTCTAACATAAACTTTACTTATGTGTTAAACTTATATGTTATTAAAATGTGTTTATTATTAATTTCACAATGCTGGATTTGGTTTGTTAACACTTTGCTTAGAACATGTACACCTGGGCCTGGTGCAATTGCTCATGCCTGTAATCCCAGCACTTTGAGGGGCCAAGGTGGATGGATCACCTGAGATCAGGAGTTTGAGACCAGCCTGGCAAACATAGTGAAACTCTGGCTCTACTAAAAATACAAAAATTAGCCAGGCATGGTGGCACATGTCTGCAGTCCCAGCTACTTGGGAAGCTGAAACAGGAGAATCTCTTGAACCTGGGAGGCAGAGGTTGCAGTGAGCAGAGATAGCACTATTGCACTTCAGCCTGGGTAACAGAGCAAGA